AGCGAGGACAGTCGGGCGACGACAAGCCGTGGGGCTTGCCTTTGCGCTTGTATGCGTCGGCGTAGGGGAGTATGTCAATCGCACTGTACCACACGCGTATCTCGTGAGTCATGCACACGAACCTAACAGCTCTAGCGCACCTTCTGACCTATGCTCTCGTTCCAGGATGAGATCTTCCATGCTCCTCAAGCTGCCAGATACTGCGATGGCGATTACAAGACCTACGACCCCAAACTGACAACGCCTCCAGGGCTCTACACTCTGTCGTTGCTGCTCTACAGGATTCTACCAGGCTGGCTGACTGGCCACTCGACATGCACCGACGTCTCCTTCCTTCGGGGCACAAATTTGGTCTTGCTGCTCTTGCTTCCTCACCTATTGCACAGCTTCAGAGCTCAGATCATGAAGGACAAAAGCCAGCTTCCTCCGGCCTACACGAGACACGCTATGCTCGACGAGGCGGCTACTCGAGCTCCTCTCGAGATCACACCTGGAGCCGTTGGAGTCTCCAGCGAGCAAGAGCCGGACAGGAGGCGTCCCGCTTCGCATGGTGCCGTTCCCCGACCTGCTCCCGCTCAGCATCCACGTGGAGGGTGGAGCGGCAAGTTGACCCTTCAGGAAGTGCTCGAGGCCAGCAGGCTTTCAGAGTGGCTCTATACCCTGTCGACGTGGAGGGTGTACGAGGGGCACGTGATCGCATTCTTGCCTCCTCTTTGGTTCTTTGGCTTCCTGTACTACACGGACATAGGAGGTGTCTGCTTCGTGCTGGCTTCTTCCCGGGCTGCCCTATCATCGCGACATGTTCTAGCCGCATGGGTGAGTCGACTGGCCAAGTGAACCTTCATCACCCTTCTGACTCTTCAGCACCCCTCGCGGCGGTGCATACAGCTCGGCTTCGTCTCGCTGTTGTTTCGCCAGACAAACGTCATCTGGCTCATGTTCATCATGGCGACGTCTCTTCTCCGTCTTGCGCAAGTCGATTCGGATGTTGGACACTCCATGTCTCAAACTTTCTACTCGCTCCTGCGGCTCGTGGGCGGACCCGGTCGACAGCTAGCTCTGCGCATTGTTGCGCCGTACATTCCCATCTTTATGCTCTTCGTAGCTTTTCTGCTATGGAACGACTTGAGCATCGTGCTAGGCGACAAGTCCAACCACATTGCCACGCTGCATTTTGCCCAGCTCTCTTACTTCTTAGGTTTCAGCTTATTCTTTGGCTGGCCTGCTATGCTCTCGCAAGCCGGTGGACCCATCGCTCTCGTTCATCAAACATTACGCACTCTCGCCGGAAATGCGCGCCAAGTCTTGATCACGGTCATTCTGTGCGGCCTGACCACTGCAGCGATCAAGTATGGAACGCTTGCGCATCCGTTTCTGCTAGCGGACAATAGGCACTACTCTTTCTACGTCTGGCGAAGAATCATCAACAGGACAAGGTGGAGTCGGTACGCTCTAGTGCCATTCTACGTGGTCTCAGCAAGATGCTGGATCGACGCTTTGAGTACGTATCTCGATTGCACTCGTCGAGCGTGAACAGTTGGCCGAAGCGAATCGCTCGACTTGTGCTCACGGTCCAATGCTCCATCATGCTTGCAGGTCGAACGCAATCCGATCTTTGGATCTTGGGCCTGTGCGCAAGCACAGCTCTCACGCTCATTCCCTCACCTCTTATCGAGCCGAGATACTTTCTGGTTCCTTACCTGCTCATGCGTCTTCACATTCCTAGCGGGCCACCAAGATCTTCGCAAACGCAATGTCGGTCAGCATGTCCCAGAGAAGGCGGAGGAGAGGAGCGAGAAATCCGAGAAGCGCCAAGAGCAAGAGATGAGGAATCACGTCCAGTTTGGGGCTTGCTGCTCGAATTCGCATGGTACGCGGTGCTCAACATCCTCACCATGTACCTCTTCCTTCATAGACCTTTCAAATGGCCTTCCGAAAAGGGCTGGCAAAGGTTCATGTGGTAACACCGATCACACGCACACGACCACTTACTCAAGGAGTTCATGTAAAGAATCACAGACGATATCCGACCAATTTCTCGTGAATCAAGGCTTCATTTATTCTCGTGACGATGCTGGTATGTGCGTCTGACAAAGTGAGTCAAATTTTCGGGAAAATTCGCGAAAGCGTGAAAGTGACGGGGACGGTGGCGTTAACAAGGTGAAATGTGTGCGTGATGAGCCGAGGACGCGTGCGTCCACGGCAATGAATGCCCTCGCAAGACGGGAGCGCATCACCACTTTCCGACGCGTCCCTGATAGTCGCGCACGTTGGCCTTCAGCTCGCCAACTTGACGGATCAGATAGGTCTCTCCCGGCGTGGTGTACTTGGTAGCGCGCGCATCAACACCTCTCAAGTCGAGATCGTCTTGAGGTGCAGAGAATTGAGCTTTGGGCGGTCTGCCATTCTCGGGAACGGCCTTACCCACCGCCTCGTTGGCAGCAATGCGCAGCCTCTCAGCTTCCGCGAGCTCGTCGCTGGCCAATCGGTAGCCGCCGTCCAAAACGCCGACGCGCATACCGGCGAGCAGGTTGTGCGCTGCGTTGCTGTGGTCGTAGATACCTCCGTTGAATGCAGTGGTCGCGTCTTTGCCAATCTTGGCCTTCAACAGGTGCTCTCCACCAGGGTGCTCGGCGATGAATGCAGACACGTCGTGAATGAATCCGTGAATGACCATCAAAGGACGCGTCTTGGCCTCCTCTTGGTAGTCGTCCCACGAAATGACGGGCAAGTTGTTGCTGTGCTTGGGCCAAGTGAGAGCGGCTTGCTCAGCGTGAAGCTTCTGCAATTGCATAGCCACACGTCCCTTGCGCACTTCGTTGTCGGGAAACACCTTGAGATGGCTGGCGAGACCAACGGCTTGCATGGCGGTAATGAACCACTTGGTGGGATCGTACTGGTACCATTGCACGGCGTTGCGGTAGTCCATTGGGAATTGATGGTGGAAGTTGTGGTAACCTTCACCAACAGTGACCAGAGCAGTGATGAAGTGGTCGCGAGGAGTCATCTTGTTGTCGAAGGTGGCCTCACCAAGGTAGTGTGCGAGGGAGTTGACGCAGAAGGTGGAGTGGTGAACAAACACAAGACGAGCGACGCCTGCGTAGAAGAAACCTCCGCGCCAGTCTCCCCAACCCAAGCCAGCGACCACGGTGGGAACGGCAAAGCCCATGATGAAAATGAGGGGCAAGTAGAATTTGTGCTGGAACTTGATGACCGAGTTGCGGCGCAGGTCACTGATGTCGGCCACACCGGGCTTGCGACGGGGCTTGACGATCATCCATCCGAGGTGAGACCAAAGCAAACCGAAGTGAGCGCCGTAAGGATCAAGATCGGTGTCGGTGTATCTGTGGTGAGCGCGGTGGCCGCGAGCCCACCAGTGAATGGAGCCTTGAACGGCACCGCTACCCCAGAGTGCGAGAATGTACTGCAATGGCTTGGAGGCGTTGTAAGAGCGGTGTGCCCACAATCTGTGGTAACCAGCAGTGATGCCAAGACCCGTCCAGAAGTAGTAGATCAACGACCAGATGGCAGTGGGCCAGGTCATCTTTGTTGTGCAGAGACCGTAGATCGCGAGTAAGGGAGTGGTGGTGAGGACGATGGCGGATACCCATTGAATCTCGCTCAAGAGGTTCTTCCACTGGATAGGTGGCAACGCTGGCTCGCGTTCCAGTGTGCGGGTGACGTAGTCGTCAGGAATGTCATCGTCAGGGTGAAGCTTGTTTGTTGCCGCCTTCTTGCCACCTCGAGAAGGGACAGCAACGTCGACATCCTCATCCTCGGATTGTGGCGGGGAAAGTTGATCTGCTGGTGGAGTGCGGAGACCAGGTGCGATGGGCTCAAAGCCCGCTCGCTGTCTGATCTCTGATGTCATGCTTGACGGTACCGAAACGACGCGACTATGAATGGTGCTGCCAAATCTGAGAGGGTGTAGTGATGTTGTGGATGGCGTGTGGTAAGGGAGGCGCGTGTGGGATCAAGGGAAGAGTGGACAGGACACAGCGAGGTTTATGTATGCTGTGACTGATGAGCAGAGTTGGAGTCAATTGCTGCACGCCACCCCGGCTTTGAGGTGAAAGCTTTGATTCCCGTTAGCCGGTCGAGCTGCGCCTCGAGCCAACACAAACGTCGTGATGTCTGTTGCTGTGCGGTCGTGAGGTGCATGCAGTCCGGGGAATGAGGCCGATATTCGAACTTTGGACAACCATGCGCCAAATCGGAGCTGCGCTTGGAGGGCAGAAACCGACCGCGAGGTCCAGAAACCGCGAGGTCGAGGCCTGTAGACTTGCACGCGCAATTCGTTTAGCTCTAAACTTATTTAGCGTTTCCTGTCAGCATCTCATGACTAAGGCCCTACTACTACTACGGTCCTGTAAAGCCTCCAGACTGGCAAATGCAGAGCTGGAGATTGGGCGGGGCGGGGCGCCTTTAGCCCTGGAAGAGTTGTGTGCTGGGGTGCTCAGCGCGCTCTGTTGTCGTGACACGTCTGCATTCCTGATGCCAAACCGGGAGCGGCCGGGATTGCGCCTCTGCGAGGTTCGGCCTCTGGCTTGGCTGGCTCAGCCTCGATTTGGAATCATGCGCCGAATTCGTCCTGAGGCAGGTAAGGGCACAGGTCAACAGATTGACTGCGCTCAGCGGCTCAGCAGCCCGCCAGAGCAGAGAGCTGTGAGTCGCGCAGTCCGT